GGTGGGACTGAAAAATAGTTCAACCTCTGTGGAAAGCAATATGGAGATACCTTAAAGTAATACAAGTGGGTCTACCATTTGATCCAGCAATCCCACTACTGGGCATCTACCCAAAAGAGCAAATGACACTCTACAAAAAGGACACCTGCACTCGAATGTTCATAGCAGCACAACTCACAATTGCAAAGCTGTGGAAACAACCCAAGTGCCCATCAATTCATGAGTGGATTAATAAAATGTGGTATATTATACCATGGAGTACTACTCAGCTTTAAGAAACAATGGTGATATAGCACCTCTTGTATATTCCTGGATAGAGCTGGAACCCATTCTACTAAGTATCTCAAGAATGGAAAAACAAGCATCACATGTGCTCATCAGCAAATTGGTATTAACAGATCAACACCTAAGTGGACATATAGGAATAACATTTATCAGGTGTCGGGCAGGTGGGAGGGGGGAGGGGATGGGTATATACAAACACAATGACTAAGACGTACAACGTTTGGGGGATGGACACGCTTGAAGCTCTGACTCAAGGGGGTAGGAGGGGCATGGGCAATATACATACCCTTAACACTTGTACCCCCATAATACATTTAAAAAAATACATATATACATAGAAAAAATTAGTCGGGCATGGTGGCACATGCCTGTAGTCCCAGCTACTTGAGCGGCTGAGGAAGAAGGATTGCTTGAGCCCAGGAGTCTGAGGTTGCTGTGAGCTTGGCTGATGCAATGACACTCTAGCCTGGGCAAAGAGTGAGACTCTGTCTCAAAAAAAAAAAAAGAGATCCTCCTGCCGTGACCTCCCAAAGTGTTTGTATTACAGGCTTAAGCCACCGTGCCCAGCCCCACCACAAATCTTTAAAAATTTAATGCTGTGTCTTTTTTCAAAATTTCTGCGGCCAGGTTGTTGAATATTCACAGTTCCCTTCAATCTTTAGTTCGTAGTGCTAGATCTTTGCTTGTTTTCATGATCAGCATACTATTAAGTGGCACATATTCACTGCAATGCCAACAGACCCAGTCTTTCAATACACAATCAAGATACTCATTTTTAGCTTTATGCAGTGTTTTTCTATTTTCCACCATTTTCAGCACAGAATTTACCTTTGTCTCTTTAGGTCACAGTTTACCTTTTATCTCTTTAGGTCATAGATGGTAGTCATTCCAACACCATATTTTTTAAGATGTTTACCTTCCACCACTGTCCAGTTTTTCCCCAGCTTGACTTTCAGTGCTAAACATAAACATAAATGTTTCCACTTTTTCTTCTTATTGTTAGCCACAGGGGTTTCTGCAGGCCTTTTCAACATTTTCAACATCTTTATACCACAGAGTAGAAAATAAACATAGTAAGTAATGCATGTACATCTTTGCCCCATGTGGAGCATCATGGGGAACCTTCCCTTGGTACGTCTAGCCTGCACACGTGCAATTTTTTACTGTTGGTGAATGTGCTTGTATGGAGGAATCTGGGTGTGCACTGAAAAGATATATAGAAGCTGAAGGGAGCTGGGAGGTCTTTTTTCTCCTGGAGACACTGACTAAACTATGTGCTATGCCTGAATTTTGATTGCAACCTGTCACAGGTGTGAAATTTTTCATTTGTGGTGTCATATCAGCACTCAAAGTTTCAGATTTTGGAGGATTTTGGATTTGGAGGATTTTGGAGGACTTTTGGATTAGGGCTGCTCAACCTGTATTAGTGTATCAGAGGTAACAAAAATACCTTCTCTGATGAACTTACTTAAGAATTGTAAACTATAAGTATCATCCAGCATCTGGATGCTAAATTAAAGAGATGGAGGATGAAATACAGAGTAGTCACTCTATCCTCTTTCCTTTTTCCAATTTTTACAATTCAGGTTTATTCAAACGTTTGACCCATACAATCCTACAACTACTATCTCTTCTTCAATAATCATCTAAAGAATGGTAGCTTTAAACCAAACCACTTTAAAGCTTATGCTCCTTATGAATTTTCCAAAGTTTTTCTGCATTCTCTTTCAACTGGGCCTCCTCATCAGTAGTCAGCTTTATCTTTATAAGATCTGTTATATCATTCCCTATCAGGGTAAAATACTAAGGAATATTTCATTTACTCTATAAAGGCTGTAACTTATGGTAAAAACGGAATGCACTCTAAGATTCTTCAAAATACTTTTCATTAAATCAGCTACAGATAGACCAATGGCCCAATTAATGGAATCTTTCATTTTAACCATCTCATAGCCATAGGTAAACAATTTTCCCCCCAAAGAGGGGCTCACTCTGTTGCCCAGACTGGAGGGCAATGGTGTGCAATCACAGCTCACTGCAACCTCCCACTCTGTGGCTCAAGCAATCTCCCTCTCAGCCTCCCAAGTAGCTACAGGTACATACCACCATGCCTGGCTAATTTTTTTTTTTTTATTTGTAGAGACAGGGTCTCACTATGTTACCCAGGCTGATCTCAAACTCCTGGCCTCAAGTGATTTTCCTGCCTCAGCCTCCCAAAGTGCTGAGATTACAGGCATGAGCCACTGCACCCAGCCAGGAATCACTTTTCTGTGGATTTATTTTCCACAGTTCAGGATCTTTATTGATTCCTATATATGAGTCCAGATTCTCCAGAGGGACACCAGCAATGCTAACTCTACTCGACACAAGAACACCTGAATCTCCATGCTTTCCAAGGATCTATCCATAAAACTTTCGAGTGAAAAGTCTTTGCCTAATGAAGAAATGAAATCAGGCAGTTATCTAGGCTACAGCCACTCCCAATAACATGTATTTTGAGGAATGCATTCAACTTCAGGGATACTTAATTTAAGATATCCACTGGGTTGGAATCTATCATTTTGCAGATAATATTGGGTAATACTGAAAATTATTAATTTAAAGATGAACACATTTTGCTGAACCACATCACAGTATGTTACTTTTCATGGACCTGTGCCTGCTGTGATAATCATTAGGTTGGAGTTTGCTGTGACAAGGTAATCTTTGCTGGAAATGATACTTGGCATTTTTATGAAAGGGCTTCCATATTGGAGATCTACTGTCTCACTCTTCCATTTGCCTTCATCAACATCCACAAAGGCAAGTTCATAACTCAAACCTTTTAATAAGATGCTGATAGCACACACCATACCAATGAATTCAGTTTTCATAACAGAGATTATACTGTGATGAACAACCTCCTCTGAAGTGAAATTCTAAGTTCACATTTCACTGTCACCATCTTGGAAATGGGGTAAAGGGCCAGTTGCCCCTGAGTAGGATGTGTGCCGCCTGGTAGGGACACAGAGTCATCCCCAGGCAAAGAAAATTCATTCCCACAGCCCTAATCTCTAGCTGGTCTATATAACTTTGCCAGTTCATCTGACAGTATCTCACTCAAGAGGCAGAAAAACAGAAAAGAGGAAAGCATCACAAAAGCTCACTGAAGTCTGAAAAAAACTGTTGACCATTTGATACCCCCTCACCCTCTGCTACTGTGGCTATGCAACACCTTGTCAAGCTTGTGCTTGCCTGGCACTCGGCTAGCACTTTAAAATGTTATTTTTAATTTAATGAATATATAGTAATTTTTTTGTCATTAAGTCACTTCTGAAAAAATGGACTATGATCATTAAGGCTAAAAGTAATACTGGCTTTGTCTTTCAAAGTGGCATATTTTGTTACTCAGAGAACACTAAATCTTTGCAATCATTTCTATAATGGTGCTAAAACACACTAAAACTAAGTATGATAGATGTAAAGAGAAATGAAGAGATAAGAGTTCTAATCTTTAATATTTTGACTTTGAAGAAGTTTAATTCTGTAAGCTTTTTTTTTCAAAAATTAATATTATAATGTGACTTATTCTAACTACTTTACAAGGTTGCTTTGAGAAAGTTATGGTGAAAAGTCTAGGGAGCTTTAAAAGATAAATTATTAAGTATTTGCCAAAAGGTGTCATTAAGCCAGTGACAAAACCAAGTCCACTGATTTGTCCTTCTTCATGAAAATGATATATTAAAATAAAAAAGGAAAGAAAAACATAGTAGTTTGTAATTATATGCTTTTTTAAAGAAAAGATAATCATGGCCGGGCACGGTGGCTCACGCCTGTAATCCTAGCACTCTGGGAGGCCAAGGCAGACAGACTGCTCGAGGTCAGGAGTTCGAAACCAGCCTGAGCAAGAGTGAGACCCCGTCTCCACTAAAAATAGAAAGAAATTAATTGGCCACTAATATAATAGAAAATATAGCGGCATGGTGGTGCATACCTGTAGTCCCAGCTACTTGGGAGACTGAGAGGAAGAAGGCAGGGCTGATAGCTTTGTTCCTGTAACCTCAGGTCTTTGGCTCGCTGTCACTCTGAGCCAGTGTGGACTTGGCAGTGCTTGTTGACTCTGAGCAGCAGGTTCCTCACCTGTCACGCACCTGTGCTGCTTCAGCGGGTTCTCTCTCTTCTTTCCATACCCCCTCCCCCATTAGTTACTCGATTTTGTGGATGAGGGGGAAGCACCTCCTATGTTTGAACATGGTTTTCCCATTTAAAAAAAAAAAAAAAAAAAGCTTCCAGCAGGGGAAATGCTTGAGCCCAGAGAGTTGAGGTTGCTGTGAGCTAGGCTGACGCCACGGCACTCACTCTAACCTGGGCAACAAAGTGAGACTCTGTCTCCAAAAAAAAAAAAATGAAAAATGTAAAAAATATTCTTAATTCTTAGCTCAAGGGTCCTACAAAAATATAAAGTATTAATAAAGCATTTATCACTCAAGGAACTCTATTTATAGTTTCAAGAAAATCTCTTATACATAATATCAGAGTGACAGAGAAAAACAGAACATAATCTAGACTGTAACAATGTTTACTGAATTATCGGCTTAACAAGAGATTACATTGAACTATTAACAGACAAATAAAAGGCCGGGAACTCTTAGAGTTCCAGAATTAGCTTACCTTTCTATGTTTTTTTATAGTGTACCACAGCAGGCCTGAGAAAACGACTGTGGGAAGTTTCAAACCCAGACAATAAGTCAAGGCTGAGTGTAGAAAGGCTCTTTTGAAAGTTCCTGGGTTTCTGATTACCTATAGAAAATAATTATGATCAGAGTTATCAAACCTAGAAAATTGGAAGGAACTTCTAACCATGCAAAAAATACATCAATTTCCTCTTGCCTCAAAACAATCAATCATAAGAATACTGGAAGCTCAAAAATTACTTAACAAAGGTTCTTGGCAGTAAGCAACACTTTAACCTGTATGCTTAAGAAACAAGAACTGCATAGGATGTAGCTCCTCTAAAAATCACACTGATGCTGGTAAGTGCTGAAAAGGAAGATCTGCAATTTATTTGCAAATGTACATGGAGTGGCATTATAATTATGATGGATAAATAATAGGATAAACCAACACAATGGATATCGATCTTTAAAACAAGATGAACTATGTCAGGGAATACATAATTACGGTGAGCACATAAAAAATGCACAGACTTTAAGGAGATGGATATCATCACACGTAACCACAAACGTACATTTGTTAGACACTTATCAAGATGATCAGCTGCATAAAATAAACAGTACCTAAGAAAAATACGTTGATTCAAGAAGAGCATTGAAGCTGGAATACATGCGCCATAGTAAACTACGTGAATGTTCAGGGAGGTTTTTAAAGGAAAAGTCAGGAGGATTACATAATTATGTTTGAGGATAATATTTAATCAAAGGCGTCCAATGAATGTAGGTGGTGCCAGTATAAGGTCAGCTAAGCAGTCACTGGGCAGATGCTCTCGACAGGAGGTTTTATTAGGTTTGGAATGGCCTTGTGGATAGGTTTGTGACAGATCTTTGTGATAGTTCTTGTTACCAAATATTCATGCATGAGAACCCTCCCTCATAGCCCTCGAGCTCTATGTGTCCGGGATTTTTGTTTTTATTTTATTCGGAGGAAAGGGATTATGCCTTACTATCTTTCTATTGCCCCGTCCCACAATAATTCTGAACAATTGTAACTGAGCAGACAGGTAAAAATGTATTTTTGAGTTTAAAATAATGAAGCACCTAGTTCAAGTGAAATATATCACATCCACCAATGCCCATCCCCACTCCTCAGTCCCCTTTGCAGAATTAACACCCAAAGCCCAAGGACAGTCTAATTAAAACGCCAGAAGACTACAATCCGATATCCTGACAGCCTCCCTTAACGTTATGCAGATAAAACAAGCAACTAGGAAATAATTATTTTTCTGAAAAACCTAAATGGTACGAAATCTCTACTTCTGAGTCGTAGGAATTTTCAGAACACACCACAAAGTTTTCAAAGTCTGGTGGACTGACAGCTTCAAATGCTGTTACTGCATCTGGCATCAGTGAAAGTGCAAATTACTTCACAGCGGTCAAGGTTCTTTCACCGTCCTGTTCTACATGTTCTCACATCGAACGGCAGACGTGAGGCAGCTTCTCAGGGAAGACACACCCCACTTCTTCTGACCCAATCCTACCAGAGGCGGCTTTGCGGAAGAGAAAGAACCTGCCTGTCACAGTCACAGGAAGCGCTCCAGTAACCCAGTCTCGAGCTCCTTCCTTAGTTCACCTCCTTCTCATTCCCACAGGTGGCGCGGGGCTGCCAAACCTGAAGAAGGAAGAGCCTGAACCCACCCACTTGGTAGGGGATGAAGCAGGAGCCAGGACGCCGAGGGTACCTCAGAGACTCGGAATCGCCGGGGGCCGCACTGCCCGCGGCTGCCGGAAGTCCCCGTCGGAAGCCAAGACCCCGGGGCGGCTCCGCGTCTCAAAGGGAGGAAGCGCTGGAGTCGAGCGGCCAGCGCCATGGCCTACAACTCGCGGGCTGACACTTTACGACTTTGTGCTGCCACCAGGGCGGGCTAGGTTAAGGAAGCCACAGGACTGAGAGAACTGCCTCCGCCCGCTTCCTGACCAGCTCCTCTTCCTGACCAGCTCTTCTTCCGCCCCACTGCTTCCGGTCCACGGGTTAAGGGGTGGGAAATACCCGGATTGGGTAGGGGTTGGCTGACATTCTGCGCACGCGCCCAGTGGCCCGGGTGGCAAGAGGGTGCTCTTCAGGCCCATCGTTTCTGCTAGTCTCTCCGGGGTCTTTCATGGTTCTGGCCAAAGGGTAAATCTCCCGAACAGAATTGAAAGCTCAGAAATAGAGGCAAGCATATATGTATGCCAGAAAAAAAAATTGTTATTCATAATTCTCTGCTATCTCCAACTAGGGTGGATCTTGACACTAGAGTATCTTTTTTGGAAATAAATGCTTGGAAGAATTAAACTGCCCCATGCAAGGAAGAGAAAGGATTATATGGATTATAAAAAAAAATTTAGGGGCAATAAGGGAGGGTAGTCATAGTTTTTAAAAATTAGATTTCATTTCTGTAGTACTTTTAATATTACATAGTGAGAGGCCGGGAGTGGTGGCTCACGCCTGTAAGCCTAGCACTCAGGCCGAGGCTGGAGGATAGCTTGAGGTCAGGAGTTCAAGACCAGCCTCAGCAACCCCATCTCTACTAAAAATAGAAAGAAATTAGCCAGACAACTAAAAACAGAAAAAATAAAATAGCCGTGTGCTGGTGCACGCCTGTAGTCCCAGCTACTTGGGAGACTGAGGCAGGAGGATCACCGAGCCCAGGAGTTGGAGGTTGCTGTGAGCTTGGCTGGCTCCTCAGCACTCTAGCCTGAGCAACAGAGCAAGACTCTTGTCGCAAGAAAAAAAAAAGTTACATAGCTAGTTAACACACGCTTTTATTTCATTTGATCTTCCCAACTACCTGTGGAGTAATTGGTATCCCAGGTTAACAAATGAGAACTGTAGCTCAAAGAGATTTATTAACTCATGCCTTGTTACTCCAAAACCACTGTTCCTTCTACTATATGATTGCTGCCTCCGCCTATTCCCATTAAATCAGCCATATTTCTTTAGGAATTAAAAAAATGAATAGTCTTCCCAACTTCTTCTGAACCCTAGCCTATTTCCCCAGAAAGAACCACTTTTATTTCACATATTTCTACTGGTGGCTACCTCAACATTGCTAAATAAAATATTTATACCACTGGGTACTATGATAATATTAAAATTGAGTTTCTGATATCTTTGCTAGAGTGAATTTTTTATATATTTATTTAATTTATTCTTTAATATAATTTTTTCTTTTTCTTTTCTTTTCTTTTCTTTTTTTTTTTTTTTTTTTTGAAACCGGTCCATGGGGCCAATAGAGTGAATTTTTAATGGAATTTTTCTTGAAAAAAAGTTTAATTCCTGAGAAAAGCTGCAGAAACTCCCATACTCTTCAACTAGATTCAGCCATTGTTAATGTTTTCTCACATTTTCTTCATCTTTCTTCATATATATTACATATAATATGCATAATATATTCCTATTATTATTTTCTGTTGTTGAACCTTTTGAGAGTAGCTTAAAGATATCATGACTTTTCACTATTAGAGACATTATCTCAGTATAATTATCAAATTTAGGAAATTGAAATTGATAGAATACTATTATTCAATATACAAATTTTGTTGATTTCCCAATGCTGTCCTTTATACCACCTTTTTTCCCCTTAATTAAAGATCAAATCCTGATAATATGTTGCATTTGTCATGTTTCTTTGGTTTCTTTAAATCTGTAATATTTCCTCAGCCTTTGTCTTTCATGACATCACTTTTTCTTAATGTGTAGTCCCATTGATTTACAGCAAGGTTTCTCAGTCTTGGAACTATTGAAATTTGGGGCTGGATAATTCTTTGTTGTGAGAGGCTGTCTTGTGATTTGTAGGATGTTTAGCAATATCCCTGGCCTCTATCTGTTAAATACCAAGTACACCCTCACCCAGTTGTGAAAATCCAAGTATCTCCAACATAGCCAAATGTCACTGAGAGTAGAGTTATCAAATTAACTAATTAACAAATTAACTAATTAATTAATTAAGTTAATTAATTAGTAGATTTAACAAATATAAATAGAGGATGCGCAGTAAAATTTTAATTTCAGATAAACAGCAAATAATTTTTTAGTATAATATATTCCATGGGCACACTTACACTGAAAAATTATTTGCTATTTCTCTGCAATTCAAATTTGACTAGGCATCCTATATTTTATCTGGCACCCCTACACCAGTTGGCATAGTTAAGAATCATGGTTTGTGGTGTGTCCCTCAATTTGGATTTGGTTGATTTTTTCCTTATGATTCTTATGATTCAATTCAGGTCATGCATTTTGGGCAGGAACACTAAGTGACAAACCTCTCCATGGCTTCACGTCAGAGGCTTCTAATGTGATTTTGCCCTATTATTGGTGGAATGGGATTTCTTTAAAAGATAGAACACTTTATTCCTCTGCTTTAAATTGTTTATAAATGCCCTCTCCCCTCCACCCCCCACATTTTCTCTTTGAACAAGTTTCAACCATACTATCTTTTCTTTCCTCCAGTAAGCCTCATGTTTCCCTACATGATATTCTCTCTATCAGGAATCCTTGCTATTCCACTATCTTGATACCCTCCCACTGGCCTCACCACACTCCACTATTCCTTACCTGGCTAATTTCTATTCATCTATCAGCTCTTAGCCTAAGTGTCACTTCTTCAAGAAACTTCTCTTATTCTTTCTAATAATATATATATATATTATTAGATATATATATATATATATATATAGAGAGAGAGAGAGAGAGAGAGAGAGTCTCACAGTGTTGCCCAGGCTAGAATGCTGTGGCATCAACCTAGCTCACAGCAACCTCAAACTCCTGGGCTCAAACGATCCTTCTGCCTCAGCCTCCTGAGTAGTTGGGACTACCGACATGCACCACCATGCCTGGCTAATTTTTTATATATATTTTTGGTTGGCCAATTAATTTCTTCCTATTTTTAGTAGAGATAGGGTCTCGCTCTTGCTCAGGTTGGTTTTGAAATCCTGAGCTCAGATGATCCTCCTGCCTCGGCCTCCCAGAGTGCTAGGATTATAGGCATGAGCCACTGTGCCTGGCCTTCTAATATACTTTTGTTTCTTTTATGGCCCTAAGCATATTTTATACTTTCATTTTTATTTTTGTGATTGTTTGTTAATCTGGAGTATATTTTGGAGGAAGAGTTGGTAATGTGCTCCTTCACTATACTATAAACTCAATGACTTTTATTTTTTTACTTATAACAGAACTTGGCCCAATTTCCTCATTCAACAAATATTTACTGTGTATCTATAATATGCCTGGTATTCTTCTAAATTTAGTGAATAGAACAATTCCTAGTGTGGTATATATTCTGGATGGGGAAAGATAGTAAATTAGAAATAAGTAAAAGATATAATATGTTAACATGCTAATAACATATTATTTAATACATCCAAAGAGGAAGATAAATTAGGAAGGTGTATAGAGTGTATTTCTGTGTACTCACAGCAATTTAAAATAGAGTAGTGGCCAGAAAAGGCCTCACTGAAAGAGACATTTGAATTAAGATGCATGGAAGTGGGAGTGAGCCATGAGGATATCTGGGGACAGAGCATTTCATGTAGAGGGAAAGGAAAATGCAAAAGCTTATATTTGGAAGGCAAATGCCATTGTCCAAGAACAATAAATCTAGTGTAGACAGAGTAAGGAAGAAGGAGAGTGGTAAGAGATGAGGTCAGAGAGGAGATGGGGGTCAAGCAGTGTAGGACTTTGTAGGCAATTGTAAGAACTTTGATTTTTGCTTTCTGTGATTATGACATTTTAATTGGATCCTGCTCACTGTTTTGAGAATAGACTAAAGGGGAGCAAGTAGGGAAGCAGTTACTATAATATTACAATAATCTAGAAATGAATAATAGTGGCTTGGACTAGGCTAGAAGATACATACATATTTTGACGGTAGAGTTGATTCCCTAACAGACCAGACCAGATGGGGCTGGGATGTGGGAGGAAAGAGTCAAAGGTGACTCCAAGTGTTTTGGCCTAAACAACCAGAAGAGTGCATTGCTATTAATTGAGATAGGGAAGAGTGGGGGAGGAACAGATTTGGGGAGGAAAATCACAAAGTTGTATTTGTACACATTAGCTATGGAATGCATGCATATCAGACAAATGTGGTAGCCGGCCTCCAAAATGGCCCTCAATGGCCCTTACCTCCTGGATTTACTACTTTGTGGAATTCCTTCCCACATTAAATCGAGGCTGGTCTGTTTGGCCAAGAGAATCCTGCAGACTAAGTGATGATGGTGTGTGACTTCTGAGGCTCAGTCATAATAAAGAAAAGTCATTGCAGCTTCTGCCTCAATCTCTTGGATTGTTTGCCTTCAGGGGAGCTAGCAGTCATGCTATGAGGACACTCAAGCAGTCCCATGGAAAAGCCCATGTGGAGAGGAACTGGAGTCTCCCACTGACAGACAATACTACTTTGGTAGCTGTGTGATTGAGTCACCTTGGACATAGATCCTTCAGTCCCTGGTGAGCCATCAGATGACTGTAGCCCTTGCTAATAACCGAAAGCAACATCATAAGAGATGATAAGCCAGAACTGCCCAGCTAAGCTACTCCTAAATTCCTAAACCACAGACTCTTTGAGAGACAATAAATTAGATTGTTCTTATTTAAGCCACTAAATTGGGTGTAATCTGTTTTACAGCAAGTGATAACTAATACAATATCCAAGTGAATGTAGCCAGTTAAAATCCGGAGTTTTAGAGGGAAGGCATGGAAGTTTGGTAGCCTTAAGAATATAGATGGATTTCAAAGCTGTAAGACTAGATGAGGTAACTAAGGATGTGATTGAAGATAAAAAAGAAAAGGTCCAAGAACTAAGCCCTGGGGCACTCCAGTTTTTAAAACTGGGGATATGAGGATTAAAAAGCAAAGGAAACAAGGAACAGCCCATGACATAGAAGAATAGCTAAGAGAGTGTTTTGTGAATATCTCATTCATTTTAACATGAATTTAACTCTCTGCCAGGTGTTGAGTTTCGTATTTATTTGGTTCTTTTATTTCTAGAACCTTGTTATGGCTGGTATATAATATGCAGTCAACACATGTTGAATTAATGGATGAATGAATAAAAACAAAAGTAGAATGGAATTTAGACTCTAGTTGAAGAGAATGAATAAGTACATTGAATAGCTATGGTTTTACACATTCCAGTGAGAGATTGCTTTTTGGATACTAAAAGTGCAAAACCAGCCCCTTGTCTCTACTCTCTCCCTACTTTAATAGAAAAGTT